CAGACAAACTAGAGGGATGGAATAACACTGCCAGGATTCTTTATAACCAGTAACCTAGTGATACAGTATTGAATCCAGACAAACTAGAGGGATGGAATAACACTGCCAGGATTCTTTATAACCAGTAACCTAGTGATACAGTAGTGAATCCAGACAAACTAGAGGGATGGAATAACACTGCCAGGATTCTTTATAACCAGTAACCTAGTGATACAGTATTGAATCCAGACAAGCTAGAGGGATGGAATAACACTGCCAGGATTCTTTATAACCAGTAACCTAGTGATAAGGTATTGAATCCAGACAAACTAGAAGGATGGAATAACACTGCCAGGATTCTTTATACACAATAACCTAGTGATACGGTATTGAATCCAGACAAACTAGAAGGATGGAATAACACTGCCAGGATTCTTTATACACAATAACCTAGTGATACAGTATTGAATCCAGACAAGCTAGAGGGATAGAATAACATTGCCAGGATTCTTTATATAGGATCAAACCTGCCAAATCTAGGGTACTGTCACTACTGTTCCAAAAATGCTACAGTACCTCTATTCTTATGTTTTTTGAACAGATATAAACATCACATTAAAAAAAGCAGATGCATATGTTTAAAATTAAGAGAAAGTGGTAACATATTGTTCTCCTTGTTGAATTGGCAAAACATATAATTAATAAACAAAGACTGCCACAATAAAATTTCACTTTTATATATTAATCTTAACTGAGGATTATTGACAACAGTAGCACACATTTATTAATATTTGTTGATAGTTTTAATGGTGAATTGCAACAACTATTAGATTAAAACTGATGACTTAAGGGTCTAGGGGCACGTGGAAAACCTGAAATGAGGGAATAGCATAGTGAGCTAAAATATCACAGCTGTGTTGCTTTCTTCCACTTACAGCTATGTTTCAAATGCCATTTGGAGTGGATTATTATTCTTAATTAGTTTTGAAAAAGGATATACTGCATTAAAATGTATTATGTCTACTACGGATTAAAATAACTGAACATTTAAACAGTGGCAAAAATATTACTATTTTCTATAATTCTTAAATGATTAATGCAGTGTTCAGGCTTTAATCAAGACAAAATAAAGCTATTATATTTTAGAAAATAGCTTTACTAAATAAACAAAATATGTAATAAAAAATCTGTCTATTTTATATGAAAAGTATTTCACATTTTTAACAATAGCAAAAACTACAGAAACAGAGTTTCCATGTATGAAATATCTAGATAAATAAACTGTTGTTTCATAGAGTGAAAACTTTACAACTTCCTAAAACCTGTAAAGTAGTAAGAATATGTTTTGTCAAAATAAAAAAATAGTGATATCCGTTCCAAATATTTTAGCCAATGCACAAAAAGTTGAAATATAGTCATACAAAGATGTGCTATCAGAAACGTAACCAACTTGTATAAGAGAGCAAACTCTGTAAAGATATTCATATTGCTTCGTGTTTCAGTTGGAGTAAAAAGAGAGGTTATATTTTTCCAAGTTTAACTTTTACATCTTTACACGACTTGGTTGATCCCCAGATGGATAGCAAGAAAACAAAGCAATTGTATGGTTAGACCATCACCTGGATGTACGTGTGCGCACACTTAAATCCAGGTGATGGTCTTACCTTGCACACTTATATCCAGGTGATGGTCTTACCATGCACACTTACATACAGGTGATGGTCTTACCACACACACATACATCCAGGTGATGGTCTTACCACGCACACGTACATCCAGGGGATGGTCTTACCATGCACACGTACATCCAGGTGATGGTCTTACCATGCACACTTACATCCAGGTGATGGTCTTACTGTGCACACTTACATCCAGGTGATGGTCTTACCACACACACTTAAATCCAGATGATGGCCTTACCAAGCACACGTACATCCAGGTGATGGCCTTACCACGCACACGTACATCCAGGTGATGGCCTTACCACACACACTTACATCAGGTGATGGTCTTACCACACACACCTACATTCAGGTGATGGTCTTACCACACACACCTACATCCAGGTGATGGTCTTACCATAAGGTAAGACCATCACCTGGATGTAAGTGTGTATGGTAAAACCATCACTTGGATGTAAGTGTGCATGGTAAGACCATCACCTGGATTTAAGTGTGTGTGGTAAGACCATCACCTGGATTTAAGTGTGCATGGTTAACCATCACCTGGATGTAAGTGTGTATGGTAAGACCATCACCTGGATGTAAGTGTGCAAGGTAAGACCATCACCTAGATATAAGTGTGCACAGTAAGACCATCACCTGGATATAAGTGTGCACGGTAAGACCATCACCTGGATGTAAGTGTGCATGGTAAGACCATCACCTGGATATAAGTGTGCACGGTAAGACCATCACCTGGATGTGTGTGTGCATGGTAAGACCATCACCTGGATGTAAGTGTGCGTGGTAAGACCACCATCTGGATATAAGTGTGCATGGTAAGACCATCACCTGGATGTGTGTGTGCATGGTAAGACCATCACCTGGGTGTAAGTGTGCATGGTAAGACCATCACTTGGGTGTAAGTATGCATGGTAAGACCATCACCTGGATGTAAGTGCCAGACCATGCAGATGTAAAGCTAAACAAGAAATTTTACAAACTTGCAAGACAAGTCCCTATATCAAATCTAGCACAACTATACTGGTAAAAATCAGGCTCCTCTCTAGTAAAGCAAAAACAACAATCACTGAAGGTCTTCACTGACGTTCAAAGGAAATAAACATATGGTGTAACTAGGATAAGCAAACGATGGGGGAATAAACAGAACAACATACAACCAGAACAGAAGGTTAAAGGAACTCTTTATTTTTCCCTACATCCTGCGAGGCAGCTGGCATCTACGGGGGTTCAGCATTCATCTGTGCAACCTTGAGATTGTCATTTAGTACTCAACTTGAAATTTAAAGTACCTTAAAATTTAGAATAGACTCAAATCCTAGACTCACTCAGACAATATTCAGATACTTAAGATAGATTTTTAAAAGAAATTGTTTGTTAAAGGTGGTATGTATTTTAATTATTAGCTATCATACACGTATGTAGTATTGTTGCTGTACTTACTTATGTATTATGAATGTAATATCAATATTACTCAAAATGCAGGTTATACCTCACACATCTTTAGGCTTAAGACATGATACCCAACAGCATAAGTTCACAAACGCAACACATGCTACATCAGCTGATGTCAGCATAATAACTTATCATATGACTAACACAAACTGAAAAGTTTAAAATTCGAATAAAAATTTCAATACAGTGTATTACTTCAATGGCTTCACACAAACACACACACACATACATGCACACTTATAACAGTGTGTGAAAATGAGACTCGTATGTACTTAATAATTGTTAACTACACTGAACAGCAGAAAATTCATATTTGTCTTCAATATCCTTATAGGTCAGAAACTTCAAAATTTTCAAAAGTAACACATCTAGCTCAGTGAAATACTTTTTGAAATTGTGTGTAAACAAAACCTGTGAAATAATTCTGTGAACTCTATCGAGCTATTTTCATTTTATATTATAAAAAATATTTTACAAATATTGTGCAACTTACCCCCCCAGAACAAAAATCTACAATGGTTTGTCCTGAAACAGCCAAATCTAAAACTGACCGAACCATATTTTCTAATTGTTGACACTTCCTCTCAAGTCGAGGCTTAGGAAGATCTCCTAAACAACAAAAGAAAACTTTAGGTGATACATGCACATAACCAAAACATCAACATGAATAAAAAACACTGGAATATCAAACTTTTTTTTTCTTTCATTTATTCTACCACTTTTGTGACTTCATAGGTCACTCTTCAAGAAATAGTTTTACTCAGAATAGATAACAAAAAACATAGAAATCTCACTCTTCAAATAAACCTAAATAATCTAAATTAAATATACATACTTTATAAATGTACAAACATATAATACAGTTCATGTATAAATTAAGTACATTACAAATGTTCAAAAATAAATAAAATTAGTCAATATACTTTCCTTTTTAAATTAAAACCTTATTCTTATTATTATAATAGAAATGTTTTATCTATCTTATACTTTCACATTCTTACTTAGTTTTTTCTTCTGTAGTGTAAGTTTTAGTAAATGTTTTCATGGTTTAACAATTCCCACTGACTTTACCCAACTAATTACTTCTGTCATCTTACTACTATCTACTTAAAGTGGTGCCAAAAAAAATTAAAAAAATACTTTCCGGAAAAATAATCTTATGTTTTACATTACATTCCCAAAAAGCGAAAATATGGTTCTTTTAGAATTTTAAATTTTCTCAAAAATACATTCATTAAAACGTTTACTGCCATATAGTTGGCTTCTTTCAGGTCATCTAACATGGGACTTGTGTAAATTTATCCTTAATTTTAAATTATCCGTTTCTCCAATATATAATTCACCACAGTTTACACATTTTAAAAGATATATTACGTTCTTAGAATTGTAATTAAATGATTTATTAAATAAAAACAAAATTTATTTGTTATTGTTCTTTACGTAACTTAAATTACACAAAGCTATTTCTGTCACAACTGAAGATACCTTGTTTAGAAAAATCTATTTTTTTAGGTTTACGAGTTATCAATAAAAAACAAAATTTCTTTGTTATTGTTCTTTATGTAACCTAAATTACACAAAGTTATTTCTGTCACAACTGAAGATACCTTCTTTAGAAAAATCTATTTTTTAGGTTTATTCATTAGTGTATACAAATTGTTAGATTACCTTCTTGATAAAATACATCTTTGAGTTTTTTATCTACAATTTGTTTTAATTGTGTATTAACAAATTAAATATTAATATGTATATTTTGTCAATGAGTCACACAAAAAAAAGGTATAACATTCTCTTTAGGTCCACTAATCTCTCTGTTTAAATGTTTTCTTTTATCAAAAACGTTCTTAGCAATTTAAAAACCTCTTAATATAACTTTCTCTGGATATTGTCACTGAACTAAAAAATTGTTTATTTCTAATAATCTATTACCTGTTGTTTCTTCATTGGAAACCAAATGATATAATCTAATTGCAAGATTTGCAGGAAAATTTAATTTTATATGTTTGGAATGATT